CTGCTGAACAAAGGGCATTCAGGAGAGATCCCACAAAAGTAACATCTCAGCCACAGCACAGAATTAACCCTAGAATAAAAGTTACTTTAGACCCACCCTCAAGAATTAAAGAATAAGCCCCAGAAGGGTCAAACTAATCATCAGGAAACTTAACTGTGTGCCAGAACAAAGTCCAGTTTTCTTTAAAAGAAGAGAGACTCTAGCACTCAATACCACAAAATACACAATGTCTAGCATCCAATCAAAACTCACAAGATAAAAAAAAAAAAAAAAAAAAAAAATTGTGACCAGGAAAAAAATCAGTCTAATGAAGCAGATGCAAAAAATATATAGATAAAACAGAATTAGCAGTCAAGGACTTTAGGACAGCCATTATAACTATGCCCATGATTTAAATAAATAAAAACATGAATTTAATGAGAAGAGAAATGGAGGATATAAAAGGGAACTAAATGGAACTTCCAGAACTAAAAAAGAGAGTATCTGAGAGGAAAAATTCACTAGATGGGATTGACAGCAAATTCGACATTGTGGAAGAAAGATCACAGAGCTTGAACACACAGCCACAGACACTACCAATCTGAAGCCCACACACACCAAACAACATAAACAGAGCCTCAGAGACTTGTGGGACAACATGAATAGTCTAACATTGGTGTAGGTGAAAATCAGATGGGAGAGGATATTCTTTAGTTCTTTAGTAAGACAGAAGCTAGAAGGATTGATTACCAAGAGACCTGCACTAGAGGAAATGGTTAAGATAGTTCTTGAGGCAGGAGAAAAATGATATACTACCTGGAAATTTGGATCTGCACAGAAGAACCTTCTATTTATGCAGATCAACTGACATAAGCCCTGGACCCATCCCTGAGCTAATGCATGCAGTGAACAGACACAAGGGAATAAAAGAAGCAAAGACTTGGAAAACTGAACTACCACATAACTTAACTACACAAGTATCAGATCATCTCATGAGTGGTACATGAATGGGATAGGCCCAAATAGTACAGTAAAGGATTTGAAAACTGAACTGACATTGGAACCCACCACCCACAGAAAGAAAAACAGAATTTGTGCTCTAAACCTAACCAGGCTGACTGCTTGGTCAAACAAACAAAAATCAACATTCTGCAGAAGATTTTAACAGAACCTAAAATCTCACAATAAAGGTCAAAACGTTCAGATATAAGAGAAATTTACCAGGCATACAAAACCAAAACAAAACAGAAGAATGTGACCAATTCTCAGGAGAAAAAGACAATCAGCAGGTGCCAGCCACAAAATAGGACTCAGATGTTGGAATTATTAGACAGATTTTAAAGACATACAATAACTGTGCTCTATGAGATAAAGGTGCACTCCTGAAATGGAGAGACAGAGTTTTCATCAGAGACACAGAAACTAAAAAAAGAACCAAATGGAAATTTTAGAACTAAAATTACATTATTTAAAAAAAAGTCACTGGATAGGTTCGCTAGGTTCAATAGCAGAATGGAGATGACAGAGAAAGGAGACAGTGAACTTGAAGATAAATCAATAAAAGCTCTCCAATATGAAGAACATAGAGGGAAAAAGATCGAAAGAAATAAATAAGAGCCTGAGGAGCTTGAGGGACATTATTAAAATGTCTAAAATTCATGTCATTAAAGCCTTGAGAGGAGAAGCAGATTGGTGGAGAAAAACATACTTATAGAAATTGTATCTGACACCCTTCCAAATTTAGTGAAAGACAAAATACATGATAAAAAATTAGATACAAAACCCAGTAAAGACCCAGAAAATATAAACAAGACTGTAAACTGCCTTAACTTAATTGATATGTGTAGAGTACTACTTTCAACAATGGCAGAACACACATTCTTTTCAAGGGCACATGGTACATTCACCAGGATAGACCATACACTGGGCCAAAAGAAAGCCTCATTAAAGTAAAAGGATTAAACTACACTGAATGTGTTCCCTAACAACAAGAGAAATAAATTAGAAATTATTTAAAAAATGATATCCAGAAAAATCTGTGGCATATTGAAACAATAAAATACCATTCAGCAGTAAAAAAGAATAACTACTGATACATACAACAACATATATGGATCATAAAAAATGAGGTCGAATAACAAAAGCCAGATACAAAAGAGTACTTAGTAAATGAGTAGATTTATATGAAGTTCAGGCTCAGGCAAATTAATCTATGGTGACAGAAATGAAACCAGAACAGTGCAGGGGGTAGTTACTGGAAGGAGACATTTTAGTAAAAACTCAACAAATGTCATTATTAGCTATCATTGCCTTATTGTGTACCACCCCACTCCACAGTTCACCATTCTACTTTCTATGCCCTAGTTAGTCCTTTTCATTTCTACTGTTTCACCTTTTTAAATGTATGGCACCTACATTCTCACTCCTGGTTAAACACTGAGACAGGGACTATAGCTTTCTTTCTCTCCCACAGTGGTTAGTCTGACACGTGCACAATGGACCACTTACAAAGTGCTACTGCGTAAACCAGACTGAGGCTAAGAACCTGTACGGAAAAATAAAGCAAAAGCACCGTGTGTGTGTGTGTGTGTGTGTGTGTGTGTGTGTGTGTGTGTGTGTACGTAAAATTATATAATTCTTTGTACTTATATGATTTAAGCCAGGGGTCAAAAAGCTACAACTTATAGTCCAAATACAACCCACTGCCTGTTTTTGTAAATAAGGTCTTATTGGAACACAAATATGCACATTTGCTTACGAATAGTCTATGGTTGCTTTCATGCTACGACACAGGTTGACTAGTTGAGACAGAGACCACATGGTCAACAAAGCCTTTAAAACCTCAAACAGTAGCTATCTGGCCCTTTACAGGAAAGGCTACTGACCCCAGATTTAAGCTGCAGCAATTTTCGATGGGCAGGACAATAAAGCCACCCACTGCTTCCAGAGCCTATGGCTTCTCTGACACCTATCTGCTGGTATTGATCCAGGATATTGCAGTGCAGCTTCCCCAGGCTGGAACGTAAGAACTTTAGCCTAAAACAGGTCATATGCTTCAACAGGAAGTCCTTTCTACCTATTTACAAAGATATCTAGAAAAAATACATTCTCCTCTTTAAGTCACATGGTATTAACTATTAGAGGAATGCCTACATTAGCCTCTTAGGGCAAAGCATGATTCTTTCTGAATATGTAGGTGGCGTGGACCGTGGAGAACTGTATATCTGAAACTAACTTCTAACACTTAGCCAGCAGAATGGTCTCTTAGGCTGAGAATCAAGGGACCTGGGTCTAGTATGACTCTAACCATGTCTGAGAGACCTCAAACCAATCATACAGTATTTTCACACCAGAGTTCCCTCCTTCCCTAGCCTTCCCTAACAACACGCCCACATGTGCTCCCCGGGTGACCCCTCCATCTAGCTTCCATGCATGTTAGAGGCACAAGTATATAATGTGTGAAGTACTCTCCAAAAGCATAAAGTATTATCTTAAAGTAGCTCTACAGTAGCAAACACTATCATTTTAAAATATAAGTTTAAATGTATTAAATGAAACAAAGTACTTACCTAAACTATTAAAGTAGTACTGCTGTCCTGGGTAATCAATATTGGAGGGAAAAACACCTAAATATGAAGGAAACAAACATTTTAATTGCAGGGATAGGCTTCCCCCGCCACCCCTGCTAGCTTTACTGAGGTGTAACTGACAAATAAAAATTGTACATGTTTAAGTTGGGCAACGCTATTTTTTTAAAGGTGTACAATGTGATGATTTAATATACATATACATTATGAAATGATTTCCAGAATCAAGTTCATTAACACACCCATCACTTTATATACTTACCACTGTGTGGGTATATACGTGAGAACACGTAAGATCTATTTCCTTAGTAAATTTCAAGTATGTAATACAGTATTATTAACAATAGTCACCATGCTGTATATTACATCCCCAGAACTTACTCATCTTACAACTTAAAGTTTGTACCCTTTTACCAACATCTTTGCATTTACCCCACCCGCCAACCCCTGGAAACCACTGTTCTACTCTCTGGTTCTATGAGTTTAACTTTTTTAGATTTCACAAATAAGTGCGATCATACAGTATTTATCTTTCTCTGGCTTATTTCACTTAGCATAATGTCCTTCAGGTTCACCCATTTTGTCAAAAATAACAGGATTTCTTTCTTTTTTTTATGGCTGATAATATTCCATTATATACATATAAATACCACTTTTTCTTTCTTTTTTTTTTTTTTGAAGATGTTGGGAGTAGGAGTTTATTAATTAACTTATTTATTTGCTGTGTTGGGTCTTCGTTTCTGTGCGAGGGCTTTCTCTAGTTCTGGCAAGTGGGGGCCACTCTTCATCGCGGTGCGCGGGCCTCTCACTATCACGGCCTCTCTTGTTGTGGAGCACAGGCTCCAGACGCACAGGCTCAGTAGTTGTGGCGCATGGGCCTAGTCGCTCCACGGCATGTGGGATCCTCCCAGAGCAGGGCTCAAACCCATGTCCCCTGCATTAGCAGGCAGATTCTCAACCACTGGGCCACCAGGGAAGCCCAATACCACATTTTCTTCATCCATTAGGTTGTTTCCCTATCTTGGCTATTGTGAATAATGCTGTAATGAACATGGGGGTGCAGATATCTCTTCGAGATACTGATTTCATTTTCTTTGGATATACACACAGAAGTGGGATTGCTGGATCATATGGTAGTTCTCTTTACTTCTTGAGGAACTTCCATGCTGTTTTCCATAGTGGCTGCACCAATTTACATTCCCACCAACATCCTCACCAATACTTGTTATCTCTTGTCTTTTTGATGATAGCCATCTTAACATTTCCTGATTGCCATCTATATTACAAAGCTATAGTAAACAAAACAGTATGGTAGTAGCATAAAAACAGACATGTCTGATAGAACACAACAGCCATAAGGCTGTAACTACTAACCTTTCCAACAATTAAGAGATTCTTTGTAACAAAGCTCAAAGCTATTATAAATGATTTCTAAACAATTGTTAAAATAAGCTCACTTTTGTTTGGGGTTAGCCCTACAGGGAACAGAATGTGGTGGGGACAATGAAACCCTAACTTATACTCTCTGAAGTTCCTTAAGGTTCCTAATGACATAAGATGGACTTTGCCTTCCAAAGGACCAAGCTTGGTCTTTGAGACCTCTGCCAAGTAGAGATGCTCTGGCTATTGAGAGAAGCTGCCCCTCAACGAAGGTGCTAGGTGAGCCACCTTCTTACCCCTCCTAAGGGACTTTCCCATTTCTTATCCCTAAGAAAGCAGTAGGACAGACGACTCAGTACTGCTGAAGGAAAGGAGAGAGGGAGGAGTGACAGGGGACACCTTCAGTGTGATGCTCCTCTCCCAGGAGTTATCAGACAGCAGCCTTCATGTACTTGATTATTTTCCACAGGGCTCCCATGTCACCTCAATTCTCATCACTCTAGATCTTTCTCCGGCTTCACCGGAAAAAACGGCAGAGAGATTGCAGCCCATTTGTAAAGAGCACTGAATGTTTCAACTTTTAGCATTTAATTTTCTACTGTATTACACGGAAAATAGAATGATACAAAAGTAAGTCTCCTTAGAAAATAGACAAGGTTTTAAGAAGGAAACTAAGAATTTAAATGTTATAACTGTGGGGGAAAATCCTCTTTAAAACCAAAATACTTGCCTAAATTTCATAATATGTCTGTAGAAAGCTTTACTAACCACTTAATCCTCAGACACACAAAGAAAAAGGAAACAAAACATTAGACTCCCGAGAATCATTTCTTTTCCTTTGTCAGCACTGAGAGCATTTGGGCAAAAAAGCTCATTACTAGATTTCCATAATTAAGTTGTATCAAAAATATAATAAAACTGGGCATTTTCAATAAAGGAAGCTCCTGCTGCCTCTTCCAAGCACACACACTAGAAACACAGTAATAGGCAAACATAGGAAAATAAAAATCTGTGTAGATGCGACACAATCTGTAAAAATCACCAAAAAGTGAATACAACCAGCTAATAGAAGCAACAGCACAATGCTTGGAAAGCTTTCTAATATCATGAATATCATATGGTTCTCAAGAATACCAGTCACTGGCACAAACTGTGAAAATAAATTACTTATGGCTCAAGAAAAGGTAAAATAGTCTCAGAAGATTTCCCATGAATAAAAGATGAAATACTGGGGACTTCCCTGGTGGCTCAGTGGTTAAGAATCCGCCTGCCAATGCAGGAGACATGGGTTCGAGCCCTGGTCCGGGAAGATCCCACACGTTGCGAAGCAGCTAAGCCTGTTCGCCGCAACTACTGAGCCTGTGCTCTAGAACCCACGAGTCACAACTACTGAGCCTCTGTGCCACAACTACTGAAGCCCACGTGCCACAACTACTGAGCTTGCACTCTAGAGTCTACGTGCCACAACTACTGAGCCCGCAAGCCACAACTACCGAGCCCACGCGTCTAGAGCCTGTGCTCCAAAACAAGAAAAGCCACCGCAATGAGAAGCCCGTGCACCGCAACGAAGAGTAGCCCCTGCTCTCTGCAACTAGAGTAAGCCCGTGCACAGCAACGAAGAGCCAACATAGCAAAAAAATAATAAATTTATTTTTTTAAAAAAAAGATGAAATATTGGAACTCATATGGTCTATAGAACAAGTGTTTGCAAAATATCAATAGTTTCCTTCTAAGTCAAGACCAGTATAGCATTTTCAATTAAGAGATCCAAAAAATTCATAGGTTTCTAAATAAAATAAAGTATTTTCATTGAGCATCAATTAGATGAAAAAAATTTTTTTTAATTAAAAAGCAGAAGCCACACTTCAAGCAATAACAGACTTGGTTTGGCCATGCATGAATATATGTCTCACCCGCCAAGGACCTAGTGGTCATTCTGAATTCTTTAAAATACTGGCCTTGCACTTCAGTACAGATTTGTCTTTCTTTTTTTAACTTTTCCTTGTACTTTGAATTCATGGAATATTACAGAAGAGAGCATATTTTAAACCCGCTTTAAGTCTCCAAATTTCAAGGAAATCATGGTTTTTGGTGAGTAGCAATAATGCTGTGGGTATAAGTGTGCAACGCTATTTGTCCCCTAAGAAAGCCTCAGGTTTAAAATTGGGGTTTGCAGCCTCTTCCTCGGAGCAGTGTGAAGACCAGCACCAGCTGGTTTACCTCTTGGTTTAAAAAGAGCCTATTAGGGAGTTCCTAAGTTGAACCACAGGGAACTGTTCCCGTTAAGTGAAGATTCCCGTTAAAATGAAGATGCCTCTGTTCCCATTAAAATGAAGATGAACTTCCAACCTGTCAGGCCAGAAGTGTTCTGTTCTGTACCTGAGCACGTTTCCATGATCTTCTTCAGAGGTCCGCAGGTGTACATCAGTCCAACAAGGATCCCGGCCAGATGCCCGGCGAAGGAAGTCCTAGGGGAGAAGGAAAGCCTTCGTGAGCGTTTGCTCTGCTGCGGACTAGCGACCATCTTCTCATCAGCCCAGGGTGCGTCAATTAGTTACAGTCTGCAGGCTCTCTTCCACATCACGTGTTTCACGCTGAGCAGCATTTAACTTAGTCCCAAGAACAACATTTCCTACCTTACCAAAAAAAAGTACAATGAATAACAACCATGACATGTTTAAAAGGCAATATCCCTCCTTGACCAAGAAAAGTGGGCTGGCTCCTTCAGAGTAGCAGAAGCATTTTGTTAAAGACAACCCATTACACTTCTTCCAGTTTTTTCTCTGTAGCTCTTATCACAAAACATAAACGAAACGCATTTTCTCTGAATTAAATCTTGAATTAGCTAGCCACTGTGAGGGATGGGAGCTATCTGTGTTCACCACAGAGCAGACCGCTACGTTTTTACCCACCCCTGACTAGTGAGGCGGAGAGCAAGAGAAACTCGGCAGAAGAGATGTCCACACTGGGCCCCCCTAGCCCTGCTACAAATATGCATCTTTCAGTCGCTCAGCCGAGAAAACCCAAAAATGTAAACTTCAAGCTTGAAAGATGAGATAGAGCATTAAATTGGTTCCACTCTTCTTAAAATAGCATCTAAGATTGGCAATCACTTCTAAATATAAATACAAGGCAAGCCTCAGCTAAGTATATGCTGAATGAGTAAAAGAGTAAATGAAAGAAGATCACCCAACGGGGCTCTCTGCCGCCCCCCAGCTCTTCCTCTCAATGCAGCCCATACCCTGCCATCAGCTACTCTTCGAGAACAGAGGTGAGGTCATGTATGTCACTGCCATGCTGTGGGGATCGCTGTCTTCTCCGTTGACAGGACGCTCTAGCCTGCAGTCAAGGCCTCCCAACGTCTGGCCCTGCCCACCTCCTCCTTCCACCCTCACCTGCTAAACCCATCCCCACAGACCACCCCCCAAGTGCTCACTGGTGACCACAAGGCTAGGAGGAACAGCGCCCCTCCCGTAAAGAATCACGTCCCAGTTGAAGAGTTGTTCCTTCCTTCTGCTGCCTGGCAACTGAAAGTTACCAAGGAGCCGGATGTGAACTCCAAGAGAACAGTGACTTCTGTGGTTTTCACATGTGTATGTCATACACCTAGGACTGTGCCTGGCACAGGACAGACACTCAAATATGTGTTGAATGCATGATTCCAGTGTCCCAGGATGGTTTCACCAAGAGCACCAGGAGGCAAGTTAAAACGGCTGCATCTTCAATCTCAGAGCGCTGGCTGTGCCATGGCAGTGAGCGAACCGTGGCGCTGACGTTGTCACCCACACATAACCTAGAATCAAATCCAATACACCTTGTGACCACGGCCACAGAGGACAGGGAAAAGAGGCCCTAAATGCCACAAGCAAGGCAGCCACAAGTCACTGTCATTAGCTCAGAGCCAGGGAAAGACTTGCTGGTTCTCAGGAAAGGAACAGGCAAGGGAACACGTCAGAGAAAAAGACTAAAAGGAAGCTTTCTGTAGACAGGATGGCACTGCCTCTTGTTCCCAACAGCCAAGTCGATCACACTATTGCCCAGACAAGGTCCTGCGTACGTCTACACACACCGAAAGTCACACCATTTGTGTGTGTGTGCACATACACACACACACACACACACACACACACAATTATCCCTCAGGACAGCTATTATTTTCATCAAATATATCTACCTCACAGAATGTTTAACCTGATAATAAAAACATGGGATCAGATACTCAGTTTTCCCATTTTCAGGGAAGAATAGTATCAACTGTGCTTTCCTTTAGCTTTTCCAAAAAAACCCAAAATTGTACTTATTTTATTCTATTTTTAGGCTAAATACACTCTCCAGCTAGTTCTAAGAATGGCAAAGAAAGTGGTAGTTTGAGGGAAACAAGAGGCCAGAATCAGTTTTTTAAAAACAGTAACCTCAATTTAACTGAAAAGAATAAAATACATCAATATTTTTGAAACTTATTAAGCCAATCTTTATGGTGAATCATATGGATATAAAATGACAAGGAAGAAAATTTTCAATTTTAAATCCCAACCTATTAAACAATCAACCTTGAATCTCATTTACAAGTTAGACTCTAATATAGTTAAATGAATTTTTTCTCTCTCTAAATGGGTTTGTAGAAGTCTGAGTTATAACCTAATTGCAAATAACTAGGAAAGGGAGGCTGGCAGACCAGAGACCACACAGCATTATCTGCCAACATTCAGCATTTTCCACAAAAGTCCCAACTCGACACTCTTGCTGTCCTTACCATCTTCTTCAAGCTCTATACTAGCGTGCTTCTTTTAAAATAAAAAACAAGAAGAGGTAATGAGCTTATTCAGTCAAAACTGAGAACCTCTCAACATTACACACAGAAAGAGGAGGATACCGTCAATGAAAAAGGAATCATATGCTTGTTTCAAGACGTATGTTAACTTGCTCCATGCCATAGGTAACCATGTGACCAAGTACCTCTCTTGGCCCTCTAAGAGATACCCATGTCCTGGGAGAGGAAACAGACCTGCAGACAGGAAATGGAGCTGGGAACCACCTTCTTCCCAGCAGGATGGGGCACCCCAGTCCTAGGATTAGGGCGCTTTATCCCCACCCCCAGGGGGTGCTGTGAGGCCACAAGGAGGCCCTGGGCTTCGGGGGAAGAAGACACATCTGGGTGCTGATCAGTGGCTGGGAACTACCTTCAAATGTAACAGCTTTAGAAACAGACTGTGTTGTTATGATCACGATTATACATGCTAAACACGTTTCAACATTTGTGGTGTCTGAGCATGCCCGTGGCTCCACAGAAGCCCTCCTGGAACGCATGTACTCTCCTCTGTTCTTAGTTATACCTTCAGGCTAACACCCCAAGGGGCAGGCTGGGAAAACCCTGCTCTTAGGAACAGCTTATTCTTGACCTAAGCAGGTCTTAGGCTGGGACTGAGGATTTGGTGATGACCTGCCTCCTCACATCCTAAGTTAAGGTAATTCCTCAGGAACAGAACCACCATATTCAATGCTACATCCATGATCACACCTGGTACAGTAAATGGCCTGACACTAACACTCAGTAAACAACTACTGAATGAGAGAAGTGGAATTAAAATAACACATAAAATGCACATATCTAACATACATTACAACTGTATTCTAAAAACACAAGTCACACCGGTCACCAGTTAATAGCTGTTTTTGTACCAAATTTCACTGGGAGAGCTAATGATTGAACACAACACCTCCTCCCCTCCCTCCCCTGTGCACACTTGGACAAGGTATCACACAAAACATGTACTCAATGAACAGAACAACAGCACTAAACCTATTATTATAGCTTAAAATCGATCACTGAGAAGCTTCACTTCTTCTGATAGCTCAATAGTGACTCTCCTGAGAAAATCATAACAGCTATAATCAAACACTGACTGTGATGGTGCGAAGAGGTCACAAGAGCCAGATACACTGTTGCTGTGTGTGGTTACTCAGGTCGTACACTGTACACACTACTGTGAGAAGGCACACCATCTGTCCAGGGTCTCAACAGTTCCACAAAGTAACTGACAGATCCAGCAATCAAATTCATATCATTCTATCTCAATGTCAGAGCAAGTTAAGTACTGATGTAATTTCATCTTAATAGGGGACAATACCATAATCCAGTAGTTCTTAAGCTTGTCCAGGTTCTAAACCCCTTTAAATATCTGATAAAAGCCATGAATCCTGTCTGCAGAAAGACTACACATACATAAAATATGTCATTTATAATTTTAAGAAGTTCATAGATGGCTTGCATCCTATCCATGGACCTCTCACTAAAAATCCTTGCCTAAAAACAATTCATCACAAACAGAAGAATTTCGAACATCAGCACCAAGTCTAAGCAGTTATATACTCAATTGGAAAAACATTTTGTTTATACTCAAATCCTAACACAGAGGCAGCCATTTACTTAGATTAACTTAAGTTTATGAACATGTCCAATTTCTTTATTGGCCCATTGCTCTCTAATGGTAGAACCTACATCTGGGTTCAATTTATTTCTTTCTAAAATCTAACCTTCAGTAATTCTTTCAGTTAAAAGTCTGAGACTAAAATATTCTGCTAGTCTTTGTATGTTCGAGAAGGTCCTAATTTCTGCATCCTGTTTTGTTGATAGGTGTAGTGATCTACTACTGCTGCTATGAAATGCACAGTCAATTGGACAGTCATTCTTCTGCAGGTAATGTCTTTCCTCTAAGCCTTTGAGATTTTCCCTTTGTATTGGATTTCCTATCATTATAGAACAATCATTCCAGGTGTAGATTTGTTTAATTTACCCTCCTTGAGATTTGCTGTGTTTTTTCAATCTGAGGTCTCATGTCTTTCTGTAATTCTGAAAAATCTTCAGCCATTGTTTTTTGTCCTGTGGACCTCTAGATATACAGCATTTGTGTATTTCCTGACTCAGAGTGGGGGCTCAATACATGTTTATAGAAAAAACTATAAAAAAAAAGAAAAAAGATGAAAAGCAAATATCAAATCAGTATTGCTACATATTACTTATAAGGGACAGTGACGGTGGAAAGATAATTTGGGAGCAAAAGTAAGATTAAGATACTCTTGTGGATTACATGTCAGTTTTATCACAATAAAGCTGAAAAAAAGATATTATTGTGGATTTTAGTTACACAAACTATATGCGTATATTATTAACACCAGCACACTGTGTTCTTTCCTATGATGCCAGCATTGGCCGATCCTCACTCCTTAAACAGGCTACTTGTAAGGCTGAGCTACCTTACGTGCTTATGCAAATGTTCCTGCTGTCATGTGCACTGCTGAAGACTCAAAAACTAAAGCTATGACTGAAATCTGGGATAAGCTATACAGGTCCTCTGTTAAATGGCAGCTCCTTCCCACAGTTGAAGAGGCTGCCCTCTCAGGCACAGCTCAGAAAGCAGAAAATGGATTACTCTATGACATAATCTCCCGTGTATGCAGAGCAAATGAC